TTTTTATTTTTTAAATTTTTTTTGTTAAAAACTAAGACACAAACACTCACATTAGCCTAGGCCTCTACAGGATTAGGATCATCAAGATACCACTAGATGATAGGAATTTTTCAGCTCTGTTATTATATAACCGTACAGGACCACCGTTGTATGTGAAGTTGATTATTGACCAAAACATCAAATGTCATTATGTGGCCCATGACTGTATGAGAAAATTATTAATACTCTGTAGGTATGGATGTCAATTTTATTTCCTCAAAACCGTATCAGAAAGATAACTCTTCTCTATGCCTTTCTCTTTTAGATAGTCCAAAAATGACACTCAGCAGTGTCCTTTGGAATTTTGTCCCTCATTCAAATACAAATCCACTCATCTCTAAACTTAAATCCCTGGTCTAAGAAAAACACAAGTTCCTACTATTACTCATACAGTATGATTATTTCACTCGAAGACTATTGAATTCCTCATTCATTTTCTCTTCAAGGAGTTGAAAACCAATTGATTAGACATTTCCTAATCGATATTGTTTCACAAACTTTTTAACATTTCTAATGGCAAAAATACTGCTTTTCTTAAGCATTAATTGACCATATTTTGTCTTGGAGAAAATTACTTGACTTCCTTATATCATTAAACTTAACATATTTTTTTTGTTTTATTTGGGTCAAATTTATGAGAGACATACTGTAACACATTTAGTAACAGAACTCGGATGAATATTGCTTTCCGTAAGATCAAGTAACTAGATTTACCGGCTGCAAGTTCTCTATAGTATATATAGAGAGCTAGACTTCTCAACTCCCATCCAAATACACACAGACAATGGACCTAATTAGCTACCCAGTTTGTTTTTTACTATAGAGAAGAGAGGCATACAGTGATAATATGATCTTTTTTAAGTTTCGATAGCAAATTATTTCGACCAAAGCACCATATTAAGTATAATTTAGAAATTCAGAGAAGAATATTGATGAATAACCACCCTTACTATTGAGCAATGTACTGGGATTCAGAGGTTATTGTAGAAAATGTCTTGATGTTTCCTAATCCCTTCTTTATTTAACACATCTCAATTCTACCAAAATAAAAATTAATAGATTAATTATTTATTTGTGTGTTTTATTGTAATAATTTCAAATCCTTTGGATAAGAGATAAGGTGGATGTGACAAGTAAATGAAGCATAAGTCATTTTAACTCTATTGTATTGACACCAAATGCATACCTTATAACATTCCAATTTAGTACAGGAAATACCTTAGACAGATTTCAGAGTAGAGTTTCTTCTCTTATTCCTGATTTGCTTTAAAATATATAAAAACATCTTAGAGCATTCAGAATTACTATTTTTAACACATAAAAGTTAACTGGAAATGTTATCTACTTGTCATCTTTTTTGGTTCTAGTAAATACATAATTATTTTCTAGTGATTAGTAAGGATAATTAGTCCAGGTTTATCACTTACATTCTTATAGTTCGGCTTGTGTTTTTTTTTGTTGTTGTTTTTTGTTTTTTTTTTTGAGACAGAGTCTCACTGTGTTGCCTGGGCTAGAGTGCCATGGCGTCATCCTAGCCCACAGCAACCTCAAACTCCTGGGCTCAAGCGATCCTCCTGTCTCAGCCTCCCGAGTAGCTGGGACTACAGGCATGCACCACCATGCCTGGCTAATTTTTTTTTATATATATTTTTAGTTGTCCGATTAATTTCTTTCTGTTTTTAGTAGAGATGGGGTCTTGCTCTTGCTCAGGCTGGTCTTGAACTCCTGAACTCAAACGATCCACCCGCCTCGGCCTCCCAGAGTGCTAGGATTACAGGCGTGAGCCACCGCACCCGGCCCGGCTTGTGTTTTTTTAAATACGTTTTCTAAATATTTTTCTCTTTAATGTGCATGTCATCCTTTACATATATTATAGCACATTGTCACAAAATTATCACAAAAATACCCATGCAACCACTATCCTCATTAAGATATATAATATACTAGCACCCCTGAAGGCTTCCTCACCCCCTTCCATCTCAATTTCCCCTCCTACACCCCAGAAGTATCCATCCTGATTTCTAATACCATAGATTAGTTTTGCCTCTTTTTTAATTAGTGAAATCACATAAGATACATACTTTTGTGTCTGCCTTCTATTTTCATGTTTAAGTATAACATTAGTTTGCTTATTAGTTTTCGTTGCTGTGTAGTATTCCATTATATGAATATACCAAAATTTATCCATTCTGTTGATGGGCCTCTAGAGTTTGTTTTTTAGCTTGTGGTAGTTTTACTAATACTGTAACATATTTTTGTGCATATATTTCATTACATATATATACATATCGTTGTCGAGTACATATCTAGATGTAAAAATGCCAGATCATTGAGTATCTATTCAGCTTTAGGGGATAATGCCAAAAATTTTTCCAATGTAGTTACATCAGTGACACCTTTCCAGTAGCGTGGAGATTTTTCTTTGCTCCCTTACCAGCACATTGCATTGTGAGTATTTTTAATTGCAGTCATTCATGTGGACTTGTATCATTGTCTCATTGTAGTTTTAATTTTCATATTCTCGATTACTAATGAGTTTATTTGCCATTTGAAAAGCCTCTTTTTTTTGTGAAGTGCCTATTCAAGTCTCTTGCTCACTTTTCTATTGGATTGATTGCCTTTTTGTATGGGATTCTTCGTTTATCTTGGACGTGATTCCTTTTCTTTGTTCGTGAAATGTATTCTGTGACTCCAAGACTTGCTTTTTTCACTCTCTTCCCTCTTTCTTTGTTGAACCAATAGTCTTAATTTGAGTGTGGTCCAATTTATCAATCTTTTCAAGAAGGAGCTGTGTTTAAGAAAGGGACACAGGAGGCTGACCTCAGCAGGCTTGCAATGCCTGGGAGGAACAAAGATCAGCCTCTGTTACTGTTGACCATTACCACCAGCAATATCTTGTTCAGCCCGGGAAAACAGTGTACGTAGTCCTGGCAGCAACTTCAATTCTTTACTTCATATGAGCGACACAGGCCTAAGCAGGCACTTTAGCAAGTAATCTCAATTGAAAAGATGAGATGTAATCAAGAATTATCAAATATTTGAGGTGTACCAATACCATGAAAGAGAGACAATAAATGGATAAACTTTGAAGAAATAGTTACTAGAACAACCAGAAGAGATCTTTAAGAATAATTAATATCATAAAAGCAAAGGAGAATGTTGCATTACAGAAAAGAAATAAGCAGTTATTAAAAAGAATTAATTGATACTGATTAAAAATAGGTAAAATTAAACTATACTGGTAAAGTTTCTTCAGAGTTCTATTTTTTTAAGTAAAAACATTAGCTCCTCAATTTAAGTAAATGAAGGAAAAAAATGTTCTTTGAAAATGCTTGGACACGGCCGGGC